GATTTTGTACTTATTGGCTGTTCATACCCGAGCCCACAAGTATCCAACTGGCAGGAAACCACTTTGGTGGTGGGAGCATACCCTTCTGCATTCGGTGTATTCCAAACTTCGCTATCATCTTTGTAGGTCGTCAGTTTATTTCACAGACATGATAAATTGCTTTTATGATAGTTTCACACGATAACAGCACTTTACGTAGATGAAGGCTATAAAAACGAGTGAATGTTTGCACAACTTTCTGCCCTCTGAGTGCATCTATTTTCTAAAGATTTCTTCTTTTTCTAAAGTTCGTTGTGGAATCTACGGCCGCAGCAACACCTCTCCAACGGACGCGGTTCCGGCCGATCCTCTTCAGCTCGGCCCATGTTGGGCCGGCTGCCTTCACCACTGCGCCAAGTCTGTTTTGGTCGACCCACTTTTGGATTCCAGTCAAGGACCTGCCGAGTGACACTAAAATCAGGATTTCGGAGTGTGGGGTCGATGCATCCCAATTTCCGTTTCTTGATATCAATCTCGATTGGGGCTTGTCTGGTCCTGTCCCACATTCGGTCGTTGGAGACGATTTCCAGGATGGTAGTTATGAGGTCTTCCAATGGACCAGTTTTTGTCTGTTGGTGTCTCGCACTGCCTCATTTTAACTTCTGCTTCTTGATGATAGTTATCTACTTATGCTTTTTGATTCCTTGGGGAACATAGAACCGCAACAACACGTCTCCAACGGACGCGGTTCCGGGCGATCCTCCTCAGCTCGGACCATGTTTGCCGACTGTCTTCACCACTGCGCCAAGTCTGTTTTGCTCGACCCACTTTTCGCTTCCCTTGTGGATTTAACAAAACCAGACATATTTTCAACACTCTGCGGCCAATCTGTAGATCAAGAGCTCTCTCACTTTACAACAAGATCAGGATCTTTAACACCAACATCAAGTCGGTTCTACTTTACGGCTCAGAAACCCGGCGGGTAAACAAGACCAACACTCAGAAACTTCAGACATTTACCAAACGATGTTTCAGGAACATCCTCAATATCAGGTGACTGGGAGTTGTCCCCAACGACCAACTGTGGGACAGGATCAGACAAGCCCCTATCGAGATTGATATCAAGAAACAAAAATGGAGATGGATCGGCTAAACACTCCGCAAGCCTGCTTCTAGTGTCACCAGGCAGGCTCCTGACTGGAATCCACGAGGGAAGTCGTCCCCAACGACCAACTGTGGGACAGGACCAGACAAGCCCCTATCGAGATTGACATCAAGAAACAAAAATGGGGATAGATCGGGTACACACTCCACAACTCTGCTTCTAGTGTCACCAGGCAGGCTCCTGACTGGAATCCACAAGGGAAGTCGTCTCCAATGACCAACTGTGGGACAGGACCAGACAAGCCCCAATCGAGATTGACATCAAGAAATGGAAATGGGGATAGATCGGGTACACACTCCACAACTCTGCTTCTAGTGTCACCAGGCAGACCCTTGACTGGAATACACAAGGGAAGTCGTCTCCAATGACCAACTGTGGGACAGGACCAGACAAGCCCCAATCGAGATTGACATCAAGAAATGGAAATGGGGATAGATCGGGTACACACTCCACAACTCTGCTTCTAATGTCACCAGGCAGGCCCTGACTGGAATCCACAAGGGAAGTCGTCTCCAATGACCAACAGTGGGACAGGACCAGACAAACCCCAATTGAGATTGACATCAAGAAATGGAAATGGGGATAGATCGGCCACACACACCGGATGCTTGCTTCTAGTGTCATCAGGCAAGCCCTTGACTGGAAAGATATTTTAGGCCCGTTTAATTTATTAAAGTGTTATTTTCCCACGTTTACGGTATGTAGATTACATTTATTAGATATTAAGTTCTACCCATGAGTTAATTTATCCGAAAATAAAATCCATTTTTAAAGTGGGCGGGTAGCTTTGAATTTATCAGCGCGGAAAATGAAATCAGGGACCGAGTTTAGATTCCGGCCTCGTTTGCTGTATTTACTTTTGTCTTATTGTCCTTAGCAAAAGTGATTTATATCTCCTCCAGTATCCATCGGTTAAATAACAGATTAAACTGGGATCTTTAATCTTGTATGGAAGCCAGTCTAGAAAAAGGAACACTCTAAATTCAAAACCGTGGGGAAGGCAATGGGAAACCACTGCATTGTCTCTTGCAAGTTATTGAATTTTATAATACAGCAGACTGGGTGCTCTAGCCTCGCGTGCAAGCCAGTCTAGGAGAAGAAAAATATATGAGAAAAAATCAAAAATGCGTCAGTTATATTCATTAGATATTCTCTAGTACATATGAGTTGATTTATATGAAAATAAAACCGTTTTTCTATTTTATTTTTTTATAATTAAGCAGATTTCATTTAGATTGACTTTCTTTAAAAAATATTCTCACCATCCCTCGTTAGTACACATATGTAGTCACACCTACATAACAAATTTAGTTGAGGTTTTAAGAGACGAGGCGTGTCACACGACAACATTTTCCATATACATACATACATACATACATACATATATATATATATATATATATATATATATATATATATATATATATATATATATATTCATACAGGTTTTGTTAAATAATTTAGACGTCGATTAGTTTTCGTTGTGATCCTTTCAAGTTCACGGATTAATTTCTTGGTAGCCTTAAAAAAATTGATTAAGAAAAAGAGCAACATTTTCATTCGAATAGTTTTTATTTTCCCAAGTACTTTCAATCTCATCTGAGACCATTTTTCACGAGGTTAAGTTGTCTCTTTAACACGTGAACTTTGACATCTTGAACGCCGCATAAGCAGTTAAAATGTTGAATTTACAAAAATGAAATGCTTTGAATTTACAAAAACACATTTTACATACTTACAGACAACTTAACCCATTGAAGGTGGCCTCAGGCGAAATTGAAAGTAATTCGTTACCAAGAAAAACTAATCGACATGATATGTCTAAATTATTTAACCAGTACTGTTTGATTGAAACAGTTTGAATAAAATATACTGCCTAAATATGCACAGTATATATATATATATATATATATATATATATATATATATATATATATATATATAAAATATATAAATTACTAAATTATATATATATATATATATATATATATATATATATATATATATATATATATATATAAAAAGTTTATAGTATTTCTGTAGTTCACTGCCATCAACAAGCAGAAAATTATTTTTCTCCTGATGATGGCCATGTTGGCTGAAACTAGTCTAAATGAAATAATAATAAAAACGAGAAATATTAATATACAACCCTGTGTGTCTGAAGATTTTAATTTTTGAAATATTTTTATTGTTCAATATATATATATATATATATATATATATATATATATATATATATATATAATACTATAAACGTTATTTTTTGTCCGCGAGAGAAAGCACATTTTAAGCGTATGTGTGTTGCTTGTAATTCGGTTACAGAGCCAGTCGACAGGGCAAGGTTAGAATTACCTATTAAGAAAAAACAGGTCTTTTTGGCTTGAACTTTTGCGAAACTATATTTGCAAGCTTCAGTTTCGTACGCGAAAGAACAGAAATTTGTCTTGAAGGATTTTTCTCCAACCTTATTTCTCATTGCTATAAACTTTATGCTTTACTTAGAAACAAAATGTAAAATAATTCTTGTAAAAATTTATTATTCATCAGACTTTTTTCTTTCGACATTTCACAATAGTGTTCATAATATGACTTATTCATAAAAGCAATTAAAAGCTTTTGCAGTTAAATAATGATTTAGTTTTCTTTCACTTTTTTTAAATTTTATGATGCAGAGCATGGGTTCTGTTTTACAAAAAGAAATTAATGATTTAAAATCTCCAAGGACTTGTCCTTAACTAATATGAATAAAAATTAATTTATCAAAATTTAAAAAATGGGCGGTAAAAATATTTTTTATCAAGATTTTCCATGAAAAGAAATGTTACTAAAATAATTTTATTCATTTGTGAATAAATACTGAAAGTCTCATTAAAATACGATATTTGCAAGTATTTCCAAATCAATGTGTTTTTCAGAGCAAAAAGATTCTCAAATTTCCCGTACTAATTTATTTATGCTTACCCGTTGACGTAAGAAAACAAAAGTTTTAACCAGAATTTCGAAGGTCCTAAAAAATATAATTTAATAATGAAAAATTATTTTTGTCTTTCCTCTTAGGAACAACAAAGGTTTTGGCGATAAAACTTTAGCGAATATTCGGAACTGTTTATATATATATATATATATATATATATATATATATATATATATATATATATATATATATGTGTGTGTGTGTGTGTGTGTGTGTGTGTGTGTGAGGGGAAGTCGTGTGTGTATGTATGTATATGTTTGCATGTATGTGTGTGTACGTATGTGTATATGTGCTTCAGCGTTTGAAAAGTGTATAGATTCTGCAAAGTAATATTAGAAAACTAACAACAAGTGTTTGACAGTGGGTCATGAGCATTCTTCTTTGTATCGTGTTGCTTCAGGACTTGGGAGATCATGGGGAATAGGAATTCATTAGAAAGTGGTAAACAATAACCTCAGAAAGAGTCTCTCTGACGCTTTTTCAATTTTTTCGATGTTTTTGCTGGCATATTATTTTTTTGTTCTTCATTTTTTTTTTCCTTTTTGTTTCTTTATTTGTCTGGTTTATTTTTATTCTTTCTTCATTCATTTCTTCCGTTATTAATTGTTTATCCTTTCGTTCTCTCTTTCTTTCAATCATTTTTTTAAATTTCTTTCTTTTTTCTTTCTATGGTATTTCGTTTTATAAACTTCATTCATTCTATCTTTCGTTTTCTGTTTATTTTTTATCATTTCTTTCTTTTGTCTTATTTATTTCTTTCATATTTCTTTCCTTTTTTTCTCTTTTGCGTTTCTTTCGAAGTCGTATTTATTTCTGACATTTTCTTTCGTTCTTTCTTTCAGAACTTTCTTGCTTGCTTTCTTTTGTTCTTTCTTTCAGAACTTTCTTTTTCCTATCTTTCATTCTGACGTTCTTTCTTATTTTCTTTCTTTCTTTTCCATTTCTTTCTTTCTTTCTTTCTTTCTTTCTTTCTTTCTTTCTTTCTTTCTTTCAGAACTTTCTCGCTTTCTTTCTTTCAGATCTTTCTTTTTATTTATTTCTATATTTTTTAATTTATTTTTATAATTTTCTTTCTTTCTTTCTTTCTTTCTTTCTTTCTTTCTTTCTTTCTTTCTTTCGTCCTTTCTTTCGTCCTTTCTTTCTTTCAGAACTTTCGTTCTCACTTCCTTTCTTTCGGATCTAATTTATTTCTATATTTTTTTTTAATTTATTCTTTTTTTTATTCATTTTTATAATTTTCATTCTTTCTTTCTTTTTTCTTTCTTTCTTTCTTTCAGAACCTTCTTTCAGAACTTTCTTTCTCGCATCTTTTTTTCGGATCTTTCTTTGTATTTATTTCTATACTTTTTTTTAATTTATTTTATTCATTTATTTTTATAATTTTCTTTCTTTCTTTCTTTCTTTCTTTCTTTCTTTCTTTCTTTCTTTCAGAACTTTCTTTTCCCTTCCTTTCGTTCTTTCAGAACTTTCGTTCTCACTTTCTTTCTTTCTTTCTTTCTTTCTTTCTTTCCGATCTTTCTTTTTATTTATTTCTATATATTTTTTTAATTTCTTCTTTTTTTTATTTATTTCTATAATTTTCATTCTTTCGTTCTGTCTTTCTTTCTTTCTTTCTTTCAGAACTTTCTTTCGTTCTTTCTTTCTGTTGTAACCCCAAATATTAGGAACTACAAAATATAACAAAACACAGTTATATATATTTTAAAACACAACATTACTATTCGTTTTAATTCTCACCAACCAGGATATAGCATGTTGGTTGGATAAACAACTGTCTACAGGTGGTGTATTTTCCAGCAGCCATGTTGTTATCTCATACTACACCTTTTTCCGTGAAGAGTCAATGATTCTTTAGAGGTGAGTTGTCTCCCCTAACACGTTCTTTCTTTGAGAACTTTCTTTCTTTATAACGTTCTTTCTTTCGTTCTTTCTTTCAGAATTTTCTTTCTTGTTTTCTTTCTTTCGCATCTTTCTTTTTATTTATTTCTATATTTTTTAAATTTATTCTTTTTTATTTATTTTTATACTTTTTCTTTTACTTTCTTTCTTTCTTTCTTTCTTTCTTTCTTTCTTTCTAAATTTGTTCTTGACTATTCGTTCTATGGTAGCCCCCGGAGTATGGATAAAAACAAACTAATAATGAGCAAACATATGAAAAAAAAAAAATTATCACTAGTATTTTTAGGTTAACAATTTCTGTTCACTTTGTAAAAATTGTTTTTAATCCTTTGCAAGGATCGCTTGATTGTTAGCGAATTCATCTCCCAAACCCGTCCTATTTATTAGGATAAATTACATCCGCGTCCTGGGTAAGACGAAAAAACTACGTCCAACAAGCAAGGCCTCTGATCAGGAGGTTTTGAGGAGCATGGAACCAATTAATTTAATTGCTGGTGTTCCAAAAGGTCCACCCTTTTTGTAGTGGTAGCACCTGTTAGGGTCCCAGCTATGGGCAAATAGTTAACACCAAAAAAACAAAAAATAGGTTTTAATACAAGAAATACTTTAATTAATAAAAAATATTACCAGCAATAATTTTTGAAGGAAAAATTATTATCAGCAATACTTTAAAGGAAAAAGTACCAAATACAAACAGTTATACATTCTTTGAAAAAAATATGACCAGCTATAGATTTCTTCAAGTAAAAATATTCCCAGAAATAAATTTTTGAAGAAAAACATATTACCAGCAATAAAAATTTTGTCAGCATTAAATAACCCATTGAGATGTTGATATGCCGTAATTCAAACCAAACCAAATCATCTCACAAACCCGAGTGGATTCAGTTCTTAATGGTGCTCTAGTAGTGCTGTCTTGTGCAATACTAAACTCACTTATTATAAACACGGAAACATGTACAGTGATTTTCTGATTATTTGAATTCGGATGTGATGGCTAACAAGTTCGTCTCAAAGGTAAAGTTGGCAAAGTTTGGTGACATTTGAAATAACACGGCAATTTTGAATTGATATTTATCGCGCAACTTTCTCCTGTCCTAAGTCCTATAGGTAATTATTGCTTTATACTTAAATAAGACATAGTACTCAGGACTAATAAACACTATTACTCGATACCATTACACAGCGAACTCTTTGAACGACTCTTATTCTTCTTTTATGTACCGTGTCTCTTCAGGACGTAGGCTATCATGGCCCTCCACCACTTCCTGTCCCTTGTAGCTCTTAATAAATTTTGTCTTTTTGTTATTTCTTCCAAACCTGGTTTTACCAGCCATTTACTTAAGCTCATCAAAAAATATATTAAATTTTTTACCTCTGTCCTATTTTCCCTCAATCTGTCGTAAATGAGGATCAGAACAAAATTCCCTCCTTTCATTATGTTTTCTAATATTTCAACTTCCTCTCCCTGATGTTAAATATAAGTTTCCTTTTTGTTTACATTCTCTCCAAAAGCTCGTCGTTGCTCACATGTTCGGTCTTTGGGATCCTCAGCATCCTTCTGTAAAACCATTTCTCCTGCTTCAATTCTTCTTTATCTTTGAGAAATTTATTCCCAGAATTCGCAAACAATTTTTTGACACATTTTTGTTTCTAACGAATTTTTTATGTCTTGAATTTACATTATTCGGAAATATTGTCCTCATAAACATCCTATATTTATTACAACGTTTCAGCCGTTGTACGCTTGCCTTCTTCAGGTGGTTGGAATGTCAATTTGAATTTTTAATTCGCTCACTGGGTTTCAACAGTTCAGGTTCCACGGGCCATGTTTTATATTTATCTACCCCAGTGAACGAAAAAAGGGTTCAGATGACATTACATTCAATGAATACCGCTTTTTCAAATCCGAAATGTTCGGAAAAAATTTTTATCAAGACAATGAGACATATAATCCAAATAATGAAATTTTACATTTGATCATCTCAAAAATATAGACTGATAGTGAAAGGCCGTACCGTTGTTAATAAATATTTACAAAGATAAGGACAATAGTCCGAATAATGTAATCAAATAATATAATACCTCATCTCAGAAAATAGACTGATACTGAAAGGCCGTAACGTTGTAATAAATATGGCGACAAAGATAAGGACAATAGTCCGAATAATGTAAATAGTGTACATAATACCTCTTCTTAGAAATATAGACAGATACTGAAAGGCCGAAACGTTGTAATAAACATGGCGACAAAGATGAGGACAATAGTCCGAATAATGTAAATAGTGTACATAATAGATCATCTCAGAAATATAAACAGATATTGAAAGGCCGAAACGTTGTAATGAAATATGGCGACAAAAAAATAAGGACAATAGTCCGAATAATGTAAATATTGTACATAATACCTCATCTCAGAAATATAGATTGATACTGAAAGGCCGTAACGTTTTAATAAATATGGCGACAAAGATAAGGACAATAGTCCGAATAATGTAAATATGAAACATAATACCTCTTCTTAAGAAATATAAAAAATACTGCTTTGAAACGTTTTAATAAACATGGCGACAAAGATGAGGAACAATAGTCCGAATAATGTAAATAGTGAATAAATAATACCTCATCTCAAAATATAGACAGACACTGAAATTTTTACCAACTTAATACTCTGCTTAGCTTTTGGAAAAAATCTTTCAATAAAAAATGTAACCTGAATTGAAACAAAAGTATCACACTTTCCGTCCTCTGTTAAAACTTTTCCCAAATATTTAATTTTTTTTTTTTTTTTTAATTGTTTGATTTGCAATTTTCCTTTTGGGTTGCCCCTTTTGCTAACAACGCTGCATTCTCTCTTCTTGCAATTGATGTTTAATCCTTTCTTCTCACTTTTCTTCATTACCTTCTGTGGAAGATTTTTGTAGTTTTCTTTCCGAGCGCTCCTTCCTCATTTATGAACTACAGAAATTTCAATTGTCTCTTCGGTCCATGTATGTTCGGTCCATGGTATCCTCAGCACGTTTCTGTAGAACCACATTTCTGTTGCTTCGTCTCTTCTTTATCTCAGAGGAAATTGTCCAGCATTCACTGCCAATATTGGAGGACAGATATCACATAACATTTCAGTACTCTTTTCTTTGTTTCCAATGAAAATTTCTGTCTCTCAATACTCTGCCTAGCTTTTGGAATGCAGACTAGGCCATCCCAATACGTCTTCGAATATCAGTGTAGAACTTTCCGTTAGAATAACTTCCCAGAAATTTAAATGAAATTGTCATTTGCTTGATTTCAGTATTACCAACCTGTAATTTGCATTTAGGGCTCAGCCTTTTTGTAATTAACCATGCATTCTCTCTCGATGAATTTTACTTAGTCCTTTCTTAATTTTCCAAAATTTAAAATTAGGAGGTCCAAGTTTCCTTTCCGTGTATTGCTATTATCAAAATGCCATCTGCATTTTTTTTTTTTTTTTTTTAAGCATTACGCCTTGAGCAAGGCGTGAAGCCACTAGGATGCAGGGGGTTGCAGAAGATTTGGAGCGAGAGCAGATAGGAGTGATAGAAGAAAGGATGAGAAGAGGGATAGTGGATAGATCAAGGTAACTGGAGATGTCGATTGACATTACATTTGAATAGATAGAGATTATAGCTTTCAGGGAAACAGTATTTGGGAAGGGTGTTCCACAGGCGAGAGGTGCGAGGTATGAAGCTATTGGAGTAGAAGAGACGGCTACATTTAAAAGTTTCTACAGTGAAAGGGTGAGAGCGGGATGCCAGCCTCGTAGGGCGCTTGAATTCATGGAGTCTGGGAACCAGTGAAAGCAGCTCATCGGAGCAATTACCATGAAAGTATTTGTATAAAAAAAGACAGAGAGAGGCGACGGCGCGTCTGTGAGAGAGCAACTGTAGACGAGATGCCAGATCAGGGCCAATTATATTACATATCCGCCTCTGGATCTTGTCAAGAACTCCGAGATGAGCAGAAGGTGCACCAGACCATATATGGCAACAATATTCCATGTAAGGGCGAATGGTTGATTTGTATATTTGAAGTATCGATTCCGGGGAGAAAAATTTCCTGGCGCGGCACAGAGAGCCAACTTTCCTCGCGGTGGACGAAGCAATTGACTCAATGTATTTGTTCCATCTCAGGTCAGTAGTCAACGTGAGACCGAGCAGACGCAGAGAATTGCTCTCAAGAAGTTGACTATCAGACATTCTAATGGGGGTGGGGGCAGGGAAGGATCTCTATGGTGATTATATTGTTAAGATGGTGGCCGCAAAT